GGAGCAGGAATTGCATTTTCTGTCCCTGAACTTTGCCTCTGATGACTTCAATAATACAATATTATCCAAAATGGATTCTATTATCTCAAACTCAATATATAACCCCAAACTGAATATATTATCCCAAAAATTAATGATAATTTTTAACAATGTTAAATGTTGTTAATGTTATTTTTTGAATTCAGAGTTTTGCACTCCCATGTTTATTCCCATGGTTTTATTCCAGTCTGGAGCAGGGATCCATTGGCACTCCCTTGAAATAATTTAAACCTCTCAAAATTGACCTTTATTTCATTTCCCAGGATGGATAAATATTCTCAGACACTTCTTTCCCAGATATTAAAATATTATTAAAATATGGCTTTATAAATTCTCCAAAAATAAGACAAGAACCTTCTAATGCAATTTTTAACTTGCACAAATTTAATTTGCACAAATTATATACAAATTTGATTTTTATATAATTCATTGAATTGGAATATTCTGGATTTAAACACATTGCAGTGCTTTATTTGAGATGCTCAGTCACAAATTAATCCAAAAATCCAGCAGCAGCAGAGGGCAGTAGCATGAAGATGATGCTGAGCTGTTTTCTGAAGGAATGAGAGGGAATTTGGAGGGGAAAAATGTGGAAATTCTGTGTTCCTGCTGCTGTGGAATTCCAAAAGGTTTTCCCAATTCCAGCCCAGCTCCTGGAATAACATGGAGAAATGCTTGATACCAGAAAAAAATTCAATTAAAAACTCAGTGCAGCTCAGCTGGAGCTTAAAAACTCCTCGATTGGTTTGGAAGGAAATTAATTATTATTTTTAGCTGATAGTTCTTCAGGAATTGTTGTTAATTCTCCTAAATTTGCTCCTGGTTTTAGGAACAGAAAGGAAAAGAAGGGTTTGGAAACAATTGTGCAAACTGTGAAATCCCAGAGTATTTATGGAAACTCTATTTATGGATAAATAAAATGTTTAAATATTTAATTATACTTAAATAGAAGCATTTTAAAGCAAGATTTTTGGGGTTTTCTTGAGGATTTTTGTGCATAAACTTTTTAACTTGGTGTTTGTAGAGCT